TATACATACATTGTTGTGTGACCCTAGTTGTTCTCCCTATACTGTGACAGCACACTCCTCCTTTCCACCCCGGATTTCCCGTGTCCATTCAACCAGCTCCTGAGCCTCTCTGCCTTCTCATCTCGCCTCTGGACAGGAGCTGCCAATTTAGTCTCATGTATCTACTTGAGCTAAGAAGCAGTTTCTTAACGAGTATCATTTTATGTCCCATAGTCCAGTCTAATCTTTGTCTGAAGAGTTGGCCTTGGGAATGGTTTTAGTTCTGGGTTGACAGAGAGTCCGGGGGCCATGTCTTCCAGGGTCTCTCCAGTCTCAATCAAACCATTAAGTCTGGTCTTTTTACTAGAATTTGAGTTCTGTCCTCCACTTTTCTCCTGCTCCATCAGGGACTCTCTGTTGTATTCCCTGTCAGGGTGGTCACTGGTGGTAGCCAGGCACCATTTGGTTCTTCTGGTGTCAGGCTGATGGAGTCTCTGGTTTATGTGGCCCTTTCTGCCTTTTGGGCTAGTATTTTCCCTGTGTCTTTGGTGTTCTTCATTCTCCTTTACTCCAGGTGGTTTGGGACCAATTGATGCATCTTAGATGGCTGCTCGCTAGCTTTTAAGACCCCAGATACCACTCACCAAAGTGGGATACAGAACATTTTCTTAATAAACTTTGTTATGACAATTGACCAAGATGTCCCCTGAAAGCATGTTCTCCAGACCCCCGCCACTGCTACTCTGTCCTTCGAAGTGTTTGGTTGTATTCAGCAAACTTTTTAGCTTTTGATTTAGTCCAGTTGTGCTGACTTCCCCTGTAGTGTGTGTTGTCCTTCCCTTCACCTAAGATAATTCTTGTCTACTCCCTAGTTAGTGAATACCTCTCTCTCTCTCTCTTCCCACCCTTGTAACTATCAAAGAATGTTTTCTTCTGTGTTTAAACCTTTTCTTGAGTTCTTATAATAGTGGTCTTGTACAGTATTTGTAAATGACTGTATTTTGATGATATAAATACTAATATAAAAGAGGAAATACACTGTGTTGATTCTGTACTCTACATTTCCTCCTTCAAGGCCTTCTACATGTCCTCTCAGCCATAATCCCAAGTTTGGACAGGGTTCTGCCCTCATATGTTCCTTCCTCTTCTTCTACTCTTTTATTTTCCTTTCTTAGATCCTTAAATGATCAGACTTATAGTTAGATAATGAGGAAGGGCTGATTCAACTTCTTTCAATTTCAGAATTGTCTTTGTGCTGTAAATAGGAAGTAAAACCAAAACCCAAACCGATTCTGTTGACTCCAACTTTCAGCGACCTGGGCAGCACAAACTCTTTGTGCTAGACTACTAACCTAAAAGTTTGTGGTTCGAACCCAACCAGCAGCACTGTGTAAGAAAGGTCTGGCGATCTGTTTCCGTAAAGATTACTGCCAAGAAAACCCTGTGGAGCTCAGTTCTACTCTGTAACACATGGGGTCACCGTGATTAAACAGGAACAAGTATCTTTTCTGGATACTTCTTTATTGAGCTGTCATAAATTTGAACATAGGAAGACAGAGGTGACTTGTTTTCTTGCTCTAACCATATGTTTCCTTTCTTATACAGGTAAACTACGGAATTGAAGTTTTGAAGGATGGGTAAAGACTTTCGTTATTATTTCCAGCATCCCTGGTCTCGCCTGATTGTGGCTTATTTGGTGATCTTCTTTAACTTCTTAATATTTGCGGAGGACCCAGTTTCTCATAGCCAAACAGAAGCCAATGTTCTTGTTGTTGGAAACTGTTTTTCCTTTGTAACAAATAAATACCCTAGAGGAGTTGGCTGGAGGCTTTTGAAGGTGCTTCTGTGGCTACTTGCCATTCTCATAGGACTAATAGCTGGCAAATTTCTGTTCCATCAGCATTTGTTTGGTAAGTACCATATCCCATGAAATGTAACGTTTCTAATTATTTAATTTCTATTCTCCAAGATAAAGCATTATTATTTCTAAGTGCCAGTATTGGATGCATTTTAGTTTGTCCTCCAGCCTTGATTTGTTATGCACTGTTGTAACTAAGTTCTTCAACTATTCTCTGTTAAATGGTGTGTTTTTCCTCCTGCTTAAGGAAAATTAGTACGAGGTAGAATTTAGTACCAAACTTAGTTTAAAAAAATGGCTTTAGTGCTAAAATGAATTTGTGTGTGTAATGTTATTTAGAGAAGACAATAAAATAGGTCTTTTCCCATAAGCAGTACCTAAGTTTGGTATAATAGATTGTAAATCATAAAGAAGATGTCTCTGTATCACGTCAGTTTTTCATTAAAGAATGCTAATGATTGCCCATATACTTATACATATTGTTCATTCGGGGGATTAAAAGTAGAACCCTAACTTTTTACCCCCAATTTTACTTTTTTTTTTTTTTTTT